AGTGACTTTCGTTAGCTTCCGATTTTTTTTTTTTTTTTAACAGTCCTGAGGATAGAAAAAGATTTGGTCTCATGCCGAGAGGGAGAATTAATGTGTGTGAACCATCTGAGGCACTAAAACGTCCGCCTCGTGGGCCAGTCAGCAAGAGCAGGAATAAAAAAAAAGCTCTATGCCTCAGCGTTATATATTCCATTGACGATGTAGCCCTTGTCGCCTTCCGTTATTTGAATTATAAAAGGCAAAAGGGAGGGGTCGGACGGGGAGTGTTTAACAATTAGATCTGCCGAGGGGAGCGTTTGATTTCATTGGTTCATAGAAAGATCATAGAACATGTACCATCGGGAGATCAGGTAGAACAGTCGGTTCGCCCTTTTAGCCCGCGGGTCAATAAATAACGACTTCTTATGCTCCGTTAGTTCGGGACAATGCAGTGGGAGTGTGTTACAATTAGGATGAATGGTAACCGTCAATTATTGTTTGTTAAGCCCTTGGTTAAGCGCCGAGGTCTTTCAACTCTCAAGCACTCGTTCTTACTCTGAACAGCGTCCCCAATGCTTGAGAGCCATCGGCGAAATGTCAGAACCCTGATGAGTCACAACACACTTCGGAGGGAAGTTTCATAATTTTGAAAAAGTTAGTTCATATATTTGTTAAAACCTACAGAAATAAACAGGGCATATGTAGATATTCTCCGTCTAGTCACATTTTTTATTCTCTCGTTATTATGTGTACGGGTGTGTCCGTGTGCGCCTACGCGAGTATGTGCGTTTAATTTAGTAGACAGAATGCTATAAGAAGAAAAGAAGAAAAGAAGAAATATTGCATGAATATCAGATATTTTCTAAAAGTTGTTGTGTTTCGGCAAAATTGAAAACAGCGTACAACAGAGTGAAAAATTTGGCTCATTCTCACGTAACTACTCCATATTTTTTGTTGTTATAAAAAGAAAAATTGGACAAATGATATTGTGACAATTGATTGAACTATTATTTGTGTTCATCTCAAGTCAATCAGTCTATTTTTCCTGAAAATAACGCATAAACTGATTACTGAGTCAGTCCAACACAACAAGGACCACAGAATGAACGAAAACGTTCATCGCCCCGCAGACCTCTAGAAGAAATTTGACAATAATCTCAAAAGCTTTGGAAGAGTGGAACAGACTCATTACCGGAAGTGTCCGTGATTACAAATATTGGGTTGTCCGGAAAATAATGCAGGATTTTGGTATTAAACAAAAAAAAAGAAACTAGTTACTTTAAAGCAATGTTCTTTAATCAAAATAATTTCCCATACTCTCAATACATTTCTCCCAACGTGTTGGTAACTTATTAATTCCGTCTGAGTAGAATTCAGAATTTTTAGAATTGATAAAGTCAATAAATGCATTTTCCAGTTCCGTTTGATTTTTGAATATTATGTGTTGTAAGTAGTGGTCCAGGTGTCTAAAAAAATGGTAGTCAGTAGGCGAGAGGTCCGGAGAGTAGGGTGGGTGAGGCAAAGTTTCATAGCCAAGCTCCAATAATTTTTGTGACGTTACACGTGACACATGTGGTCGAGCGTTGTCATGCAACAAAATGGGCCCTTTCCGATTGACCAAAGAGGGCTTCATTACTGCCAATTTCTGATGCATGGTATTAATTTGGTTACAGTATGATTCAGCATTGATGGTTTCGCCAGGATTTAAGAAGCTGTAGTGTATTAAACCAAATGAAGCCCACCATACCGTAACCATTACCTTTTTTTGATGAGTTGGGGGCTTTGGAAAATGTATTGGAGCTTCTCCTTTGTCGAGCCACTGTCCAGAATCCACTTTTCGTCACATGTAACAATTCTGGCCAGAAATGGGTCATTTTTGTTTCGACAAAGAAGTGATGCACAAACATCAAAGCGCTGATTTTTTTGGCGATCGTTTAATGAGTGTGGAACCCAATTTTCGAGTTTTTTCACTTTTCCAATCGCCTTGAGGTGGTCAGCGACGGTCGTTTTACTGACTTTGAGTTGCTCTGCAAGTTCTCGAACAGTTGTTTTGGGGTTTTCTTCCACCACTGATCGCAGAACATCATCATTAAGAGAGGAAGGCCTTCCACGACCTTCTTCATCTTCAAGGCTGAAAACTCCCTCCCGAAATTTTTTAAACCACCTTTGCACAGTGCACTCATTAACACAACCCTCGCCCCAGACTTGGTTAATGTTTCTAGCCGTTTGGGCTCCGCTTCGGCCGAGTTTAAACTCGTAAAAGAAAATCGTACGAAATTCTCGCTTTGACATTATAAGGATGACTGAATTATTTCCAAGTAGCGGAATGCTACAGAGGTAAACAAACAATATCATTTGGAAGAGGATTAATAAGTGTTGACATTCATACAAATGAGTAATCCTGTAAACGTAAACAGAATATTTTATATAGATTTTTTTTAATGAAAACTTAAAATCCTGCATTATTTTCCGGACAACCCAATAGTTTCAGAAAAGGAAGAAACTCAAAAAATTTAGAAAATTGTTTGAACATGCTTTTCCATATTCACGAAGGAAATGCTGGACGTCGAAGAACGATGAAATCGAAGGGGGAGAAACATCTGTAAACAAATAACCGATAAGATAAAATAGGTCTGGTTATCTCACCTCTTAAATATACCTGGCAAAATCTCGGCCGTGACTAACGCTTTTCTTATGCAAAAAGGTAATTTTTGCTTCCGAACTACCGAAAGTAAGGAAGCCTTGTGTTCAAGCGGGAAATAGAAAAAATTGTTGTCCTCCAGAATCAAAATCTCCGCTTGCATTTTGCGTTCAGGCCTTTCTGAAATTTTGTTCCGTATGACTATTATGAAATTTTCAGAGATTGTGGGGGTTGGTTTCTAGATAGTCCTCTATGAATTGAATCCCAATCGTATGAACGGTATCGCCTGCGCATACTCAAACTACAATCGCGTACACAGCTACAACTACGACACTATTCGTCCGATTCTTATGAAATTTTCAGGGATCATGCGGGTTGCTTTCTACAAGATCCTCCATGAATTTTATTCCAAACATGCATGCGCATGCACAAAATGTGAGTGATCTATACTGCCCACCCACTTGGCAGACGTTTATTGTATGACTATGTAGTTGTTATTATGCAAACATATTATCATAATGAGTGAATTTCAAAACACGAGGTAAAAAATGGATGGGATGGTAGACTAAAATTGTAAGTATAACGACAAAACAAAATTTAGATTGTGAAGGCAGTTATGGTTTCAACTTTAAGAATAAGAACGTTAATTTGTTTATTTAATAACTCGAACATGTAATAATAATAATAGTTATTCTAATATCGTGAGATGCGGTCGGGTGTGATGTAGGTTTCAGAAAAACATTTTCTTTATCGTGCCAACGTTTCGATCTTTTATTGAGATCATCTTCAGGGCTCAAAGTGTTTGTCTTCTGTGTAATTGTGCCATCCTTGCGTGTCGTGTTGAGAGTGCCTACATCACACCCTACCGCATCTCACGATATTAGAATAACTATCGATTAACGGTCACTAATCTCTACACAATAATAATGATAATGATATATGATATGATGATATTAATAATGATGATAATTATTTATTTTTTTATGGTAAACATTATATTAAGTTGCAATCTTTATCACACTCTCTCTCTCTGCCCTTATCTCACTTTCTCTCTCTCTCTCTCTCTCATTCACTCTTTCACTCTCTGTCTTTCTCTCTCCCTCCCTCCCTCTCTCTCTACCAACCTACATTCTTACCTATCTAACTCTATATCTATTGTCATCTGTTTTATTATTCAGTTCTATATATATTTTTCAACTCATCTTACCTTACATCATTCTACCCTCTCTTACTCTCCATTCTTTTTCTTCTTTCTCACACTGTCTGCCACTCTCTCTCTCTTTTCTTTCATATTCTAATCTCTCTTACCCTCCTTGATTTTTCTCCTATTTCACCTTATCTTCCTATCGCTCTCTCTCTCTCTTTCTCTCTCTCTCTCTCTCTCTCTCTCTCTCTCTCTCTCTCTCTCTCTTTCTCCACCAAATTAATTGCGTGGTGATAAGATATAACCTAACTTACTCATCTAACTTGAAAAAGACTCTAAGTTTGTTATTTTAAACAACAATCCCATAATTTATTGTCCAGTTCGATTCTAGTGCTTATTTTATGCCACCTTTAATGAAAGAAAATTTTTAATAGGATCGACCATTTCTGAGTTATGCCCGTCGGAAGACGCGTGAGGGGAGTATGCTTTTTGTATACTACGAATTAAATGGGTGGACTATAGAAGTTTATACCCTACATATATATATATATATATATATATAATATATATATAATATAATATGTGTGTCCATCCATCCTCTTTCATCACTCTCTGTCTGTTTCTCTTTTTTATTTGGTCGAATCCTATGACTGACAAGTTAAGGATTTTTCTATCGATTTCCTTCTGAGCCGAAACGGAAAGAAACAACCTGGCTCAGGTACTCCAGGGTCAATAAAAAGGTTTGAAACGGTGGTCCATGGCAGATGGCTTTAAGAAAATAAAAAGATAACATTCTCTATTAAAATCTGGAATATCCTTCTCATTGAATCTCTTCGTGAAAAAGGTGCGAACTTTGATTAAGGGCTCTAAAATTTCTCAAGTAAAAATGAAGAAAATTATATTACTTTCGATTATTTAAAATTTTGAGAAATTTGAAAAATTTAATGTGATAATTCATTTCGGTTGATGTCAAAATTTCAATAAATGATAAATTTTAAAAATATAAAAGCATGAATTTTGATATGTTTTGCCATGTTGTTCATTATATCGTAAATGGTATGCCATTTGAAATTTCGTTAAAACATGTATATTTTTCATTTTTATAAATGCACTGAAGTTTACACCGTTTATCTAAAATTATACTTCTTTATACAGATTTATAGAAAATAATATTTAAACGCTAGATGAGCTAATATTATCCATTGTCTATTAAATATTAATTTACAATCTAAGTACCTGGGGAACCTAGGAGTCCCACCCAGAAACACTGCTGACAGGTGGCAAGCGGCAGATGGTTGTTTATCACACAAAAAACACCTTAACAAAGCTTTAAAAAAAGGCCACAACAGATATTTAGATCCCGTTAATAAAAAAATAATGAAACACCAAGATTATTTCATAACCCGTTGTAATGATCACCTTGAAAGTATGCAGTGAATATGATAAAGCTGAAAACAATAAAATAACAAGCTGAAACAAAGTACTTCGTTTTTGTCCATGAAAGCGGTTTTGTATTTATTGCTGAAAGAACGAGAGAAAGGCAGTTATCGGTAGACCTTGAAAATTATAGGTTTCTTTATAATCTCCAGAGGGCATGGATTCATTTTATCGGACAAAGATGAAACATTGTATTTCTTCTAGTAAGTTTTGACTTGAGAAAAATTGTTCTGCAAAATCAAGTTTATTCTAAATGATTAAAAATACAAAATAAATAAAAAAGCATAAAATTTCATCTTTAATAAAAGTGAACATGACGTCATGGAATCCAATGTCGTTAAATTAATTGCTAAATTAATCTATAATATAACAAAATAAAATAAAATTGTTTTTTAAACAAGGTAAATCTGACTGAATAAAATCGTTTAATAATATTCAACGTAACAACATTAGTAGAAAACAAAAACTGATTTTTTAAAAATATAAGTGACATATTTCTCACACAAGATAGATAATCCTAGATGGTGTTTGTGTCTTTATGACAAAAAATCATTAAATTTGTTATTAATATGTGTATTAATTCAAGAAAAAATAATTACTAAACGTTTCAGGACGCCTTTAAAAATGCCTACAGCTATTTAAATATTTGAAATGATAAATGGTCGAGGGAGTGTGTTGTTCAAACTTTTTAAAAAGATAGTTGCTACTCAATTAATAATTCTATTTTTGGGACAGGTTTTAAGCCTTTAATTAAATTGTTTTTTCTTGCTTTAGTACCATGTTTCTTAAGTTAATAATCTTTGGGTAAAATTTAATTGAAGTTGTTTGGTCTTTATGACTATTTTTAAGTGTACCGTACTTCATGTTTTTAATTTTTTTAACCGATACACTTTGTTTTTTATATTCGATAAATTTATCTTTTGATCACGTGTCACAATCGATTTTATCCAATTCTACTGGAGACAATAATGAGGCAAGCATAACGTGTACGAGATATTGATAAAAACGTTTTGTATCTGTACAATTTATGTAATTCATTATTTAACATGATTTTATGATATTTGCGTTGTAAGACGGTTGAACAGTTCTTAATATTTAATTTAGCAAGAAGGAATTTTGGGGTTAAGTTTAGTTTCAAACAGTAGGAATTGAACCAGATTGATTTGTTGATTTTTCAGCATGAAAGTCTTAATTTATAATAAAGTTTTAAGAGTTCTTGTTTACTGTATATATATATANATATATATATACGTACAAGATGCCAATCTATTAAAAAATTCGTTTCCTAACTAATGGATACTTACTATTGGACATATGAAATGTAAATATTAAAGCAGATAGTAAATAGATATGATATAATAATATTTGTATCGTGTTTACTATGGTAGATACTATAGAATTGGTGGATTGGTTGGCCAATAATATAGTTACATAGTAATTTGTTAAATTCAGTACATAAAAGGGGAAATTAGTACAAAAGCGCGACGTCAGGGTATAAACAGGGCGAGGAACAATGCTGATTTCCTTCGTTTCGGTTATACCTCTCACAAAAGCGAATCGTGTGGGTAAATAAAGTCTTATTGAATTATGGTTTTAAGCAGCTTACTCCAATAAAGAAAAAATTGTATTTCTTACATTTTACTAATGATACATAAGATGAAATTATTAAATATATAGCAGCACGTGATGATGCTGATCGTATGTTTAACTTTTTTTTTTTATTGTAAGAAGTCGTTCGCGACCTAACTTAGTGTAATTTTGTAAATAAAAGATATTTTATTCATTCATTCTATTTGTCTCATGTTTCTACTTCCTTTCATTGCTTCATCTTTCTTTTCCTATTCACGATGGTGTTTCTCATATTCTCTCACATACTCTCTCTTTTTCTCTTTCTCTCTCTCTCTCTCTCTCTCTCTCTGTCTCTCTCTCTCTCTCTCTCTCTCTCTTCTCTATTTATCTTTCTCTCTCCCCCACTCTCTTTTTCTCCCTCTTAGATGATACCTTTTAATATCTTCAAAAACTTAACAATAATAACAAGTTCCTTTGCCTTCTACCAAGCTTTTATGGGTTAACGTGATAGCTAGTATACGAATTAACAGTAGTAGTAAAATTAGTAAAAGTAGACAAAGTATATAGAGAAGTAGCATTAGTATAGACAGCCGTAAGAATACTAAAAGTAACTGTAGCAGAAGTAGAACCATAAATATCGTACTAGAAAATTCAGTGATAATAGTAGAAGCAGCAGTACTAAAAATTAGAATTAATAAGATTAGTACCAAAATATACTTATGGATGTTTTGAAAATCTAAAATTTACGGGTAAAGGTTTTTTAATAAACTGCTTACTTAAAATTCTAAACCGACATGACTTGCAGTTCATGAGAAATTAATGAACTGCCCCGAATGGATAATTAATATTACATTTGTATTTGTTAATTGATTTCTTTTTAGTTCTCTCTCTCTATCACTTTCTCTCCTTATTTTTCTTTTCTTGAATCTTTTCTCATTGAATTTTTAGTACTTTATTCTCTTCCGACCAGGGTAGGGATTTTTGCCTTTTATTTATTACGTACAGTTTACAGTTTGGTATAAGAAATAGTGATTGTTTATGTGTATATCTGGGTCCATTAAATTGGATCAGTTCAAGAGCGTTGCTAACAGACAAAGAAATTGAGTGTAGAAATGTTTGATCTCCTTTGTCATGTGCAGACCAACAGGAACCCTCATTTCAACCGTGAAAACATGTGAGTAACAGTTACAGAACGTGCTCTTGATTTTTAGTATAACCCCATAACGGCTATGTGTTGATTTCAATCATTTCTCTCTTGTAAAAGTCCACTTAGAAAGTATCAGCAAATGGACAACATCAAATTCGAAAAGCAGGAACCCCTTTTTACAAAATTTCCGCTTGTTTACTCCCGGAGCACTTGGCTTAATTAAAACAGGCTATTGCCACTGGCTCATAAATTCAGCCAGGAAGACACACGATTCCAATCGAACAAGATTAAAAGTGGGGACCGAAATAGCTCAAGAGTCCCATTACGCCAGTTAGTCAACGTCTTTCATGGGGATGGCTCATATTTACGCTCCCGCAATTTCTCCTCGTTAACCACGCTTTATGAGCCTCTTTGGGCCACTAGCAGATAAATATTGGTGGAATCTGGACAAGGTAAGGATTAAAAAAACTAAAATTTGAAATATCTAGCTGAAAGTATACATCACGTTTAAACGTCACTAGAGAACCACCCGGGAGAAGACATTTTTATTTACGGCAATATATTATTTTAGGAGCCACTACGTTAAACTGCCAACCAAAAAGGAAAAAATATCTTAGCTTTAATGTTTTATTTTTTGTTGTTAATCATATGAAATGTGGACCGCGGTAGCCTAGTAATTAGGGTGACCGACTTGTATTTGTCACGCAATCGATTCAGGGTTCGAATCCCGTCGAACCACATTTTAATTGAAAATAATGTGCAAAGAATATTGCAAAGTGGTTTGGTCGTTCTTCCGTGATGCCCAACAGGAAGTAGGACATAAGCTCAATTTATAATTGGAATTACTATTTTACTTTATCTGTACATTTTAAACATCAATCAAGTAGTAAGATGAATGAATTGAATTGATCACATATATCCACATAAAACGTAAAATACCCTTCATACCATCCTAGATTCACCTTATGCCAAATGAGGCTTCTGCCTCTATTATTCCACCACCCAGCAAGGATTCAAAGTTGTTAACAATATTTTCTACCCTCTAGAGTCTGGAGTACGGATTTGGTCCAGGATTTTGAAAGGTTCTGGCACCTCAGACAACGTCTGTCTATAAAACTCTTCCTACCCATTCTTTATCCTGGAATACTGTTTAACTGATTATTGCTTCAGAGTGAGGTGCACCAACTCAGATAGATCAATCAAACCGGCGTCCCTCAAGGAAATATTTTTGGTGTTATCATATGTAGGTATCATTTGTACTGCTGTCTTTCCTATACATCTCAACACCATCATTACCACCAATGCGGATACACCACTATATTGTATTTTACCCGAATCGTCCCCTAGCATCCTCCAACATCCAAGATCACGTTGAGATTAGTGCAAAAAGTGGTCAATACTGAATGTGAACAGTCTTGCCCTATACTGCACATCAACAACAAGAAGCGAAGGTCTTCTACTGAAAATACCTAGTCTATTCCTTGATAACAGACTGACATGAAACCATCACACAAGACTTAAGGTATAGCAAGTTAAGTTTAAGAACTACAAAGACCTTTAGGACCGAAATCTGTTCAGCCCTCTACTTTAAGAGACATTACAACCTCTTTTGATTGTTCTACCAAGTCATCAATATCAAGCGCATCCAACCTTTCCAATCCCAAGTCAAATTGTCAAAGCTCTTTATTATGTCACTAACCTCATTATCCACATCGACGTCAACATTACTTATATCAATGTACTGATCCAAACCGGCTTCCAATAATAATACTACTGCCAAAGCCTTATCGATACTTTCCCATTCTGAGCCTTAAACAACGATGACCTCAAGACCTCCTTGTGCCTTAATTCCTCAGCGTTGGCTAGTTGCTGTGTTTGCCATAGAATCAATTTTATGACCGGGAAAAAATTACTCACGTATCTTTAATATGTATTTATAGGGGGCGTTGGCCCCAACGGTTTAGGCGTTGACTTGGCGCTCATCACTGTAAGGTAAAGGTCCTGGGTTCGAATCCAGCGGACCTGTACTCAGACCCGACATATTAGCGGGGTTAATATGACCTTTGCTGTTGAGAACCATAAAATAAAAATAAAGAAATCAAAATAAAGAACAAAGGGTCGAATGATAAGATTTGGCAGGTGCATAGGTAGTTCATTCTGATACTCTGATCATCACAGCAGTCAATAATGCTGATTTGGTTCTACTGCTGTCATTCGCGAATGTGGTTACAACTGGGGCTTCAAAAACCATTTTAAACCAATTTTTTCTTGTGATTCTCAATGACAATTAAGATTTTGGAATTTGGTTAACTGTTCTTTTACCAGACTTGATCAGTTTTAGATACTAGTCGATATTTTGTTTTTCTTATACAACAAGACAAAATGCTTGTTGGATTATGAAAAAAATTATTTGTGGGACGATATGTGCATAATTTCTACTTACAAAAAAGACTAGATTGAGGGAAAAAGCCGTCACGGAAGGTACGGTTCGTACTCTGGTGGATATACAACGGAAGAAGGTACAGAGAAAATATGTGGGCCTTAAAACAAATACTAAGTTTCTAACCTCTTAAAAGATTCTAAACCTAAGACTGCAAAGAGTTCAGCACAAGCAGATAAGTATCATACAAAACCATCCTGATGGCAGAATATCCCATGATCGTGATTCCAAAGGATGACATAACCAAGGTATGCAAGTTTAACAAAAATTTCTGGCCCCTTAAAAAATTGTCGAAAATAATGGTGAATAGGAAGAAGCCGTTTGTGTTAAGACAGGACATTGGTCTCAGGAGTTCAAAATCGGAAAATGATAAATAAACTACAGAAAAGGAAGTAGGAACCATTTTTGCTATAGATTGTAACAAAGTAAACCTGCATTTATTATTATTTAAAAAACAAATAGATCTAAAAAAATTGTGCCTGATTGAATTAACATTAAAGGTAATATAATTTGTAAAAACATCCTTTTTTTGAGAAAATGATGACTTATTGCAAATGGGAGAAAAGGAGGAAAAGCTCTGAAATTTTTTTACAACTATCAGCTGTCATATAGTTTTGAATAGATCAGTGACTTTTATTTTAGTTTTGAAACATCTCGAACATCTCGATACGATGTCTCAAAGTAGGACACACGGATAAAAAAGGATTCGAAATCATTGATTCGCGTATTCGTTTTTCAGCCTTCATCAAGGATGATTTCATTAAAGAAAAATGGGTGCAGATCTGCGACGAGGAGCTCCTCGACGAGGCGCCCACGATGGAGTACGGCCACATGGTTGCCTTCTTGTCCCTGGATATGACCATGCAAGAAAAGGACGCATACATCGAACAAGAGATGAAAGACCAGCAGTTAATTATCACTACCTATTAATCCCCAAGTTATTTACATGTTAGTCATGTTGGTTATCTCCGCAGACTAAGAACGAAGAGAAGTACAAAGTCGTGGTAAAAATCTCTCCTCAAGGCGAAGTAGATCAGCCGAGAGGTGTGGACGTGAGAGGCAAGTTATAAGCGTACATTCAAAAGTTCAATATGTCAAGGAATCATTTTCAGGTATACTTATATCTTCGCAGATAACGAAAGCCGTCTGCTCACTCTGTGCGGCGTTTGATTCCTTGAAAGTTCTAAGGCAAGACAAATCGTATTTTCCTATAGTTATAATTTAATAAGTTATATATAATTTACAAACTAGAATTTTATGTAAATGAAATTATCAACTTTTTCATATTTGCAATCATTTTTGCTCCTTTTTGTGTTTCAAATTACACTATTCATAACGACTTACACTTCCCGTTTGTACATAAAGTCCTCAAAACCCGTTATAAAAAATTTCATCAATCACTGAACACACAATAATCTGTTACTACGACATTTATCACTTCCAACCCGACTTGAAAATCCTCCAAGACGATTGAAGGGAAAGTGGTCTTCTCATTGAATGAAGATTGAAAAGATTTCGAAGCGAAGGAGTGTTGCCACAGGGCAACTGCTCCTACAAGAGACTCAAATGACAAATTCAACATATATGAACGTATTTACTTAATACAATATTTGTAGCTGTAAATATCAAATAAATATAATAAAAAAGTAACCATTTTTGATCATCTAACTATGCAATATTAAGCATAGTTATTATTTTTATGGAAGGGCTTGTTGAGATGAAAAAGTTGTGTCATGAGTGGGATTCGGACCCACGAACTTCGGTTCAATACGCCTCTGCTCTAACCAGTTCAGCTATCGTGACGAAGCGGTCACGAAGGTCATGGGTTCGAATCCCACTCATGACACAACTTTTTACGTTACGGACATCAGCTTCCTATCTCAACCCCACCTATTTGAAAAATGGCAAAAAGGAGGGAAAACTCATAGGTGGGGCTGAGATAGGAAGATGATGTCCGAGTGGATCGAGGTCACGATAGCTCACGTGGTAGAGCAGCGGCGTATCTACCCGAAGATCGTGGGTTCGAATCCCGCTCGTGCCATTAACTTTTTTTCATCTCAACTAAAAACCTTAATTAATTGTAATGTATTAATTGGTCAAGCGGACCACGAAATTAGTGAACAATGCCTATTGTTGGATTCATGGTAAAAAATGCTCATGGTTCTCAATCTTATAGAAAACTTAAGCTAACTTAACTTAAAAAGCTGATTGCTAATTTATATAATCTCAAATTTGCACATGTACTTACATAACTCACGTACAGAGTTGAGTCATTTCTCGCAGTCCGGCAGAAGGTCGTGAGTTCGAATTCTGCTCTTGACACTTGCTTTTTCATCTCGATCAAAGCCTAAGATATGGATTGTTATAAGGTTAGTTTTTCGTATTAGCGCTAATAATGTATCAATGATTTGTTGTTCGTAGAAAATGTTTGACATTCTGTAGAAGTTGTTGAAATTTTTAATATTTTTTCTTATAATTTTGTCTTTACATCTTGATCTGCTTTATAAGAGTTCATGTTATGTTCACGTAGTAAAAAATAACATCGCTAGAGCCAGTAGGCAATAGGAGATTTTAGGATTGAAGAAGGTCCAGCCTAATGACGGTGTTATTCATGTTTTCATAAAGCATATCTATTCAAATTCAACACAAAGCTTCCTGAAAGCTCATTATGTTTTTGATAATACGCTTAGCCGTTTATCGGGAGTGTAATGGTATTCGAGACGGGGCCGGAAGTCGACAAAAAGACGTCCCGTCCCGGGCCTGTTTAAAATTCCAGAGCCTGGCCCCATCCCGGTCTCGGCGTATTGAATAGATATTGGTTTTTGTGCGGCGATACCTCGCCGTGAGGTACACAAAAGATGAAAGAGAAGCTCAAGGGCGTATTTTGATTTCGGTAACAAGAATTCGCCTTATGCATCTTTCAAGTTCTCAAGCGGCCCGTCGGAAATTTTGAGTGGTTTCGAGGTATTCATATGTGTCGTATCTTGTATTAAGCCTATTATTATTATTTTAGAATATTTTTATAATTTTTTTATAATTAAAAAAAAATGGAGAAACGTTGTGTGCAGCTTATTCTTTATCATTTCAATAAAAACGCTATCTTCGTTCAGAAATAAGTAAAAGTAAACCAGATTGTCTAATCGATGTAGTGTTATTACTTTTTTTGTTGTAAAACTGTAATTGATGGAAATGATGAATGGTGGAGTGAGTGCGATGTTCAATCCTTCTAAAAAGATAGTTCCTACTCACAGTAAGTTGTATTCAACGATCCGGATTTCGAGCTTAAAGTTCATCATCAGGTTGTAGGAGTTCTACAACCAAGTCTCTCAACATGAATTGTAAAAGTGAGGACTTTTACTGACTTACTTTTGGCTTTTACAATTCATGTCAAAAGACGTGGTTGTAGAACTCTTTCAACCTGATGATGCTATTAGCTCGAAATCCGGGTCATTGAAAACAACTTACTGTGAGTAGGAACTATCTTTTTAAAAGGACTGTAATTGATATTGTCTTTGTGTATTGTGTTTTAATGCTATAAATTATCATGATATATAATAGGGGTCCAATACTTTTAATTAACTTGAACTATTTATACTAATGAACCTTTTGTTTAATAGTTACCCTATCATCTTGGTCTACCTCCACGCGAGGCTAGGCAGACCAGGATATAGACAACTATGAATCAATAGGTTTAAATGCAACAGACAACAGGAGGAAATTTTACAAAATTTTATTGACGAAACATGTTAATGTGTGTTAATGAGTGTTAATGATGATGAACGTTAACTAGGAGCAAAGTAACTGTTTCAAAAATAAATTGTTTAATAAAAGAATTTGTGATGCTACAATTAAAAAATATAGTAGTCCAGATGATTTTGCTGTTTCTAGATTGATAAACTGTAACTTGAAGGCTGAGTCAATCTTTTTACTTTCGAGTTTGCTCGGAGACACGAAGGTTTCTTATTTGTACCTAGACAAAAACCCAATTGCCGATCAGAACTATCATATCATTCTCAAATCGAATTTCGTGTAAGCTGGTCAACTCTGTCAGTAGAGAGAGCGTCTATTTTTACTTTGGATATTTTTCCAGGTTGCAACATTTGTCACTCCGGATGTGCAGGATAGACAAGAAAGGCGCTATGAATCTTGCATCAGTCCTGATGTACAGTAATCCAGAGCACCAGAGGCTTCTCTCGCTCAACCTCAACGGGAACCTCATCGACTGTACAGGCATTGAAGAACTCGCACGTGTAAATTGAACAATTAAAATTCGTCTATTTGACTTCCTAGTGGCATTTTTGCAGGCGCTGAGGTGGAATCGGAAACTGCTGTATCTGTCGTTAGCAGGGAATCGAATTGCCGACAAGGGTGCGAAGGCCCTAGCCGAAATACTTCTCCCGTTCCAGCTCACCTATGAAGAGCTGGTCTTCAGAGCTCAAAGGATCTCCGACCGTTTGAAACTTGTCAGAAAAACCGTGTGAGAAATGTTAATGTCACTTTTTTAATCATTGTACTAATATTAAAGTTTGAATGTACTGTAGATGATGGAACAATCACAGACTACGGCATTTAAAAAGAAAAAGTCTTCCTTCGGAATAGATAGTAAGTGTTAAATTTGTGGTTTACTGACACTCTGTTTGCAGAATCTCTTTGATGTAGATTTTTTCCATCTCTCTCGTACACGCACGCACGCACGCGCACGCGCACACACACACACACACACACACAGAGTAAAATTCCCCAGAGTGTAGCTTACAAATATCTTGCAATTACATTAAAAAACCAAACAACTTCCCTACTTGAAACAAAGATGACGGCACTTTACAACATGCAGTGAAGACACTCTAAAGACTTCAACTAATTATTTCTTTGAAAACGTTAATCCTATGGAAGAGCACATCATAAAATCGACATTCAATCAACCGACAAACAAGGAACATGACATCCTCTTCACAATTAATGAAATACGTTAACTCTGAAGATCGTCAATTCTAAAAAAATTCAAGTAAAGATGGCCTTACCTGTGACATTCTTTATTTAATATTTCAAGAGGTGAAACATATGCATCGAATTCCATAAAATCTGGAAAATAGCTATTTGCTAATAAATTAACTCAACCACATATCAAAACCATGTAAGTGTCTAAACTATTCTACCAACTAATGTCCGTCATAACCTGCTTATACACAGTCAGCAAGAAGCAGCAGTTGTCATGGAATGTATTAATGCTACACAATAATAGTGTACTATTAATGTTAATAACTGCACCGATTATTGATAAAAACGATATGCGAAATGTCACCGATTACCTGATTTCTTCTTGAGCAGTCTGCTCTACCTAGACTTCTTGGCTTACCAGATGCGTTTCGGATTTTCTCTATCTTCAGTGTTGTGTTAATTACTAGCCATGTATTAACTACTCGACCAAATAGTGCCTGCCATAACCTGCTTACACATACACAGAGTTGCAGCAGTAGTCATAGAACGTAGTAATGTTAAACAATAATAATTGTGTAAAAGCAGTGCTGATAACTGCCGCATTCACGAAAAGAAAAATTCCACTGATCATCTATTTTTCGAAGCAATTAATTTAACCACATACAAAATGAAAGATTTCTTCTTGACAGTCTGTCTACCCTCGTAAATTTGGACTGCCAGACGCGTTTCGGTTTTTCGCCAACTTCAGTGAGTTAATTTTTACTAACCATGCGTGTCTAAACTATTCGACCAACTAACGTCCGTCATAACCTGCTTACATACAGTCAGCAAGTCGCAGCAGTTGTCATGAAACGTAGTAATGCTAAATAATAATAGTGTATTAGTGTTAATAACTGCACCGATTATTGATAAAAACGATATGCGAAATTTCACCGATTACCTGCTATTCTAAACAATGACCTTTGTGACATTTATTCTTGTAGTCTGGGTGTGATGAACCTGTAGCTGGTCGATCCCGATCATTTCAGTCTGCCTATCTTCTCTAATCAACCGGACATTGCCTACTCAAAAAGTACTTAAAAATATTTGGAAAGGCATAAAACTGCTGGGGTTCTGTCAGAAGGAAGAGGAGAACCTCAATACATACATATTATATGCTTCTATGAATGCGTGACAAAGAAAATATTTTTACTGAAAGAACATTTCTATCGAGTAATTATAACTGACGAGCTACTATCAAGGTTATGGAAGCTAATAAAAATATTAAAGCTGGATAGTATAGCGTATAACCATTTTGTAGAGAAGTACGATAGACCCATTTCGATGGAAGCAGTGCTTTGTTCACCTAATCTCACCTAACCTCGCTGTTTTGGTTGTGTGTGTGTGCGTGCGTGTGTGCGTGTGTGTGTGTGTGCGTAAACTGATCCACAACTGAAGACAGCAAAGCCGAAAGGCGTTTAATAAGTCAAAACAGAGAGGATGATAGTCAAACCAATAACGATCGAGGCGTCTATTGCCACGCCCTGTTTATATCCCTTACTTCACATATTTAAATTTGAACCCAGCCATGAGACCAAAGGAGCAAATAAGGTGAATCGGTATATTAACGCATATAAAATTGCTTATTTAGTTAATTTCACGGCGTTGCCATTATCCTAAACCAACATTACTGGCAGCTCTTGCAAAACAACGCCGTGAAATAAAATACATTCTTTTACATTCTTTCTTTGTATAAAAAATGGATTCAATACTAATACAAATTAATCCACATTTGCTTAGTGATCATAATTGACTATATTAATTATTCCAATTAATTATTCTTTTTATCTAAGGTTTTTTGTTGAAATGCAAAATTAGAATCACGAGCTGGATTCGAACCCACGACCTTCGGCTCAATACGCCGCTGCTCTAACCACTTGAGCTATCGTGAATTCGATGACGATGATCGATGTCATGTTAGCTCAAGTGGTTAGAGCAGCGGCGTATTGAGCCGAAGGTCGTGGGTTCGAATCTCGCTCGTGACACTACTTTTTCATCTCAACCAAAAGTCTTAGTTAGAAAGAATAATTGTAATAACTAATACATATTATTATATGTACCAACAAAAATTGTCTTCAGTCAAATATAAACCCGTATAATACAGTCGATATGTTGGTCAATATCATGCCATGTTCTTCACTTTATGATTTTTCAGATCTGAACGAAACGGTGATGTCTCAGAAAAGGACCGAAGTGACCGAGAGTATATCTTATTTCATCCAATTGATCCGAATAGCGGACGATACGACGCCGTTGGACGAACATCCTCTGATGGCAGAAGTCGAGGAATACGACGATGAATACTGGAACAAAGGAAACGACATACTAAGCAGCTTAAACCTCAGCTGTACGATTCCGTCCGTCAGTTCAGACAAAATAACCATTATTTGTTATCTTTTACAGACAACCAGATCACCAGCGAAGGGTTGACGTATTTCTTCGAAGTTGCCAAATACCAAGATAGGTTTTTCACCTCGAAAAACGGACTAACTAGGTTCCTTTACGATGTGATTTCCTCCTTACATATCATAACATTTCACTTTAAACAATGCTTCATGAGAAAAATGTTTTTTTTTCTTCGTTTTAGGGAAACCCAGTCGCAGATACAGACGGCTATCTTTTGAAAGGTCTCAAATCCTATTTCTCTGGGCAGAAACATACCAGTGGGACAAAGCCAAGGAGACATTCAAGATATTGAATTTTTTTTAGTACCGTCATAAAGCAATTTAGAATAACCATGTACAACAGAATTATTCATTTTTGAAAGTAAAAAAGAAAAACAATGCACGTAATAATTGAACAAAAATAAACAGTATACCTCCAACAATTAGTTTTATCATTGTTTTTAAATTATACCATATTATTGTACAAATTTATACATAGTTAATTTTTAAAGGAAATCTTTTGTTTAATAAATAAATATTTCTTGTGCACACAGAGCATGTTAGAGTTTCTATTATTGTAAAGCTATCATTTTTTAGCCGCTTATCTGCTTTAAAGTTTTTAGTTATGGAAAAAGCATCTTATGTAGCCAAAAAAGCACAATGCTACTTAAATATTATAATAATCATTGTTTACAACACCTGGAACTGTATTCCACGGACAATTTTGCAAAAGTAGCCTAATAATTTTAGACAGGCTGCAATAAAAAATATATTCTTCTCTGACTTGGTTATGTCCAATCTACTCCGACGTTTTATAAAACAAATCCTGCAAGAACCCCCTACCCAATCAAATAAGTTATTAGTAAGACATATGTTGGTAAGTGTTCTTTTACTTTCCAAAGATCATGACTGAGAATGAGACGTCTACACATTCAAAGTACTTATCGACATCGGTTTTAGACATTTTTTTATGCGACAAAATTTCGATTATGTAAATCCTTCTTTTTGTCTTACATAACTTCGCTGGAACATTAGAACATGCAATTCTTAAAAAAGTAAAAAAAATACAGATTTTTGTTTACTTTTTATTAAAAGTTTTATAAACCAATTATTGTGAATTATATGACGTTAAGGATAATATATCCGTTTACAGAACGAAAACAACTGGAGTAGAATAAATTGAGAGGTTAATGAAATTTTGGTATGCCACGTGGTGGCGGATAAACGTACTATAGAGGGTATATCTAACTTTAACACAACACAAAAAAAGATGTTTACTGTAGAAACATTAAAACAAATATCATGAATTTTTTGGGTCTAATGCCCATCAGAATGAACAAAACAAATCGACTTACAGATTTACAGAAAACACCGATGCAAAATTGCAGCAATAACAATAAGACTCATGATCCCCAAACTGAAAACACTTTCACTTAACACAGAATGCTTTAGCAGAGAATTACAAACGACAAAAAATGGTAGGAAAAAAAGACGGATAAAAAAGCACCAGCAAGCAGCAGCAAAAACAACGAAACACAAAACAACAATTTGTCACTATTCATATGGACAGAAAAATTTACAGATTCAATTAAAGTATACTCCAAAAAAGAAACAAACGAGCTAACAAAACTTATTCGACAAACTTGGAATGATGATCAACGGCCTTTGGACCCGGACTCTCCGAAGCGTGCAGACGTAGCAGGCCCATACACTCCCTTCCCTATATATCCGCAGTTCAATAGATCACGTGGAATCTTTCTCAGAAACATACTAGCCTGGTGGCTCTCCTCGTCGCTACCTATATTTTTTACCTAATCCATCGGTAAAGACAGCAACAGCTTTTCGAAACGGAAGAAAACAAGTACGTAGTTACCCTGTTAGGGACCAGGTGCTCATTGGCAGTCCTCAGATCCTGACTAGTATTAAACGACATTAAAAAATTAAGAATAGACAAAATAAATACATAAGAACAAAAAGTATAATTGTCTCCATGATAACTTAAAGAAGGTCGCCGTCGTCTTTCCACTTGATCCTGCAGTCCCGTTTCTCTATGTTTCGCAGTTATCTACCTTTAAAAGATGCATTCTACTTACTATAAGAATGATGTTGCCTTGACTATCTGACATACCAGCGAATATTATATTTTCCGGATAAAATTTTTCCGCAACGTTTAAATGTATGAGTTTCATGCTGATCCTCTGATTCCAGAGACGTGCACAGTCTAATGATTACTAGGTATAAGTTTTTCATTGTTTGTGTTCAGTTAATCTGTGTATGTAGATGAGAACTTGTTATCATATAAATACAGAAGAAATTTACGATAAAACTAACAAAAGTGCCAATTTTAATAACGACGATTATAACGACCAGAACAATGAAATTTTGATTTTATATTTAGCCGCTGAAGATAGCTCTAGTTCCATTTCCTCCTCCAGAGGCGCTAGAATATTTCGTGTTTTCATTACCATAATTTATCCATAAATAATAATTTTCACCCATGCCGAAAATTTAATTATGTATGTTATTTTAAATTTTTATGAGAAGGGATCCTGTGATTTTTTTACTATGTCAATTACTTCCCAGTTTATGCAGTAAAGGTTCACATGGAGCAGCAGCAGCAGCAAGCCTCTCTATTGTTATTGATCCTCTTCAGTTAAACCTGCTTCCTGCAGGTATAGTTTATATTTTCTCGACCAAGGTAAACTCCAACGACAATTACTGACAATTGACAATTACTTTTACACTTTGTTTCTACTACAATGAGCGCAGGTAACGTAAAAATTGATTATGTTTTCTCGTATGAAAATTGATTTGTTTTTTGTGGATAGAAATAAAGGTGGAACCAATGGAAGAGGAACCGACTGCAGGAGCACCGGTCGCTGCCGATGCTGAACAGCCGACACCTGCAGAACAGCCGCCTCCAGCGACCACAGCAACGGCTGATGCAGCCGTAGCACCCACTCCTGCAGAAACCGCAGGCGAACCTGGAGAAAGTCAAGGTATGTTATAAATAAGAATTATATTATTAAATTATAATTAATATAAAACAGTGTTCGTTGGCTTGCCAACTTTTTCAGACTGATATTTCTGAAAAGTTTATTGTTTACACTTTATTCTGCTCTAAGTGTCTATAAACAAATAAATATATACATGTGCAAAAGTTCCCTTAAGCCTGATATTACTTTGTACCTAACTGAGAACAACAAATTTAAGGGTTTGTGAAGTTGTGAGGAAAATTAGTTTGATAAACCAAGCGTGGATTAACAAATTTGAACCAAAACCTTCAATAGGCCTATAAGTAAGAATGTTAAACAGCCCATTACTAAAAATCACATTGATTAGTAGAAAAAGCATATCTACAAGAAATCCATTATATTTAGTGGTGTATTGACCAAATTTCTTCTTTCAATTACTTAATATTTTTATGTAAGGTTTTGATTGAAATGAAAAAGTCAGTTTCACGAGCGGGATTCGAACCCACGACCTTTGGCCAAATAACCACTGCTCTATCCACTTGAGCTATCGTGACTTTGATCCACTTGGACACCAACTCCCTATCTCAAGATACAACCTTTCGAATTTTCCCTCTTTTTGCCATTTTTCTACAAGAAATGTTTGATCAGATTTTGATTAAGCATGTATTTATCTCACCATTAATCACCATGCTAGTGTTTGCTCATTTCCCATCTTCCTGGAAAATAGCAAAAGTCGTCCCTACTCCTAAACTAATAAAGCTAACACCCTGCCTGGTAACTGTCACCAAATATAACTCTTTAGTACCCTTTCAAAAATTGCGTAGAAAGTACAGCAATATGTAATTTAGCTTCAGACCCAGTCAGCTGGCCAGTGTGGTGGACATGATTATTCATAATTTTAATGTAAAAAAAGCATGTGGTGATGGTTCTTATTGACCTGGAGAAAGCACAGAGGCCTCTTATTTAAACTCATGACATCAATTTCTTTAACTACCTACATTTAATTAGCAATTACCTAACAAACAAGAAAATCTTTGTACAGATTGATGGCATAAGGTCACCTTTAAAAAGTATAAAACCTGGGGTCCTCCAAGGGGCTGTTCTTGGACCTACATTATTTAACACCTTTACAACCTTTGCAAGCTAAAAGCCATAGCAGAATTGGATCTCTTGGCTGATGATACAGCCTGTAAGAGCCTCTGTAGAGTTGATTCTGTCTGAGATAATTATCAGTAACTGTAGGTAGGTGTTTTAAATATTTTGAAAAATGGAGAATCAGACCTAACGATAGACTGAATCAATATGTTTACTCGATGCAGACATTGCCAAATATATCAAAATAAATAACTCACCAATATCATGAGCTGCCGTAGAAAAAACATTCTTGCCACAAAAGAATAATCTAATGATATCCAGGGGACCACTGTACGGTAGATAGACTCTCAGATTGTAGACCCTGCAAGGTAGGTTCATTTTCAACAAATAAAAAATATAATTGGTCACTTGTGTTTGATGTTTATTTCAAACTATATGTGTTTTTGTAAATAATAAAAAATTAAAAAAGTTAACAAAATAGATTCAGTGTATCTCGACTTTACCATCAAATTGCAAATACGTGATCCCTTAGAGTAGAGGACTAGACAACTAGGACATAGACTACTAAATTCATGAATAAGAATGTAAAAAATATTACATAATTTGTACTATTTATTAATTAATAGTTGTTTGTTTATTATAGATTATAATTATCCATCTATTAAAATATATAGAAACCAAGTAAGAAAATTGTTCTTGCATTCAAAAGTTAATTTTTGGTCTGCATTTAAAAATAGGGGCGTTATTTCAAAAATGTTATGTTAAATGCCTTGTGTGAATAAACATATTTATTAACATGAATTTGTAGTGTCACAGGGTCAATGATAGTATATATTGACATTGACTTGTACATATGTTGTATATAGAAAAGTGGAGTAATAAGCCCTCTTTCAGAATGGCTTAATTTATTTAGTGTCTTTAAGGAAGATAAATTTTTTATAAAGACAATTGGTGATGACGCCAAAATCGTCATTTCTTATCGTACAGAACTGGTTAATATCCAAATACCAATTTGTAATGGTGGAGAAAGGATCAGAACCACTTTATTTTATTTTAAATTAAAATTCCAAGGACTATGCCAAGATTCAAACCTAAAATCGAAAGCGTTGGATGTTCTAACCTCATGTTTAAGAACGCGTGTGAGTTCATGCTTACTTTACATCCCGAATGCCATTATAGACCTAGTTATGATAACCCAAGAGCATACCAATGTAAGGAAAGGCAACAGAAAAATAGATGGATCTCATTGTTTGGCTTCTTTCCTAAATCCAAGAAATATTTCCACCATCTTGATTTTCAAAATTTGAGTTTTTGCCTACAATTGTGAAATTATTGGTAAATTTAAATTTGTTGTTGATTTCTGGAATTTCTGTTGAAATTGATTAGCTTTGATTTAAAAAAAAGTGTGAATAATATAAGGAAGAACTGAAAGAATGTTCAGTTTAAAAAAAATTTGACACCAAAATTCTATGCAAACTTCTTTTTGTTTTTGTTTGTCATGGAAAGACAAACAAAAACAAAAAAGAACAATTTGACTAAAATCAAATACTTCAAAAGTATGCGAACTTTCTTTACTGAGTCTTTTCTCCTTTTTTATTTATTTATATTTTTAATTTATTATTATGTAATAGCAGTATAATTAATATTTTTTAATTATATATAGAATATTACATTATATGTAATATATTATAAATAAATTTCTTATAATTATCATATATTGTATAAATAGTATATTTATTGAATATTTATTTTTAATATTGTATTTGCTTTCAGAGCCAACACCTCAAGCTGAAAAACCAGAAAATGGGCCCCCGAAGAAAGGTTGGCCAAAAGGAAAGAAACGGAAAAAGGTTAAAGATGAAACTGCACCCCGTCAACCTCTCACAGGTTATATTTTATAATTAAAATAAAAAATAGTTTTATTTATTTTTTATTTTTATATAGGTTATGTGCGATTTCTTACTGATCGGAGGGAACATATTCGTGCTGAAAATCCCACTTTGCCTTTCGCCGAAATAACTAAACTTCTAGCAGCAGAATGGGCTGTTCTTCCTCAAGATCAAAAACAGGTAATAATTTTGATTTTTTATTACAGTTTTCAGGTGATATTTAAATATGATTTTTTTCTAGCAATATTTGAGTGCAGCTGAACAAGACAGGGTGAGATATTTGGAAGAAGTCGCTGCTTACAAGGCTTCTCAGGCATATCGTGTAGTCAATAACTTTAATCAGAATATGAAAAAGCCAAAGGTAGAGATAGAAGAATCAAGCCAGACCGCTCTGGAAAAGAACCAAATGGCAATTTGCGACATACCGATTTTCACCGAGGAGTTCCTAGATCATAATAAATCGAGAGAGGTTGAATTAAGACAACTTCGAAAGAGCAATACTGACTACGAGCAACAAAACGCTACTATTCAGACCTACATTGCAGGGCTCCAAGCTGCAATAAACAAATTAGATGCAGAGACACGTCTGCAAACGGTCAACAACAACGCCTTAGAAGAACAACTAACATACCTGAAGAATTTATTCGTTAACATATTCAAGAAGGTAAAAGTGCCGGGAATCGAATCACCAAGTTTAGAGACTATGAATCAAGATGTAGCAAATTTTATTTTATACTATCATGCAAATCCAACTAGTAGTATTGTTGAAAGCGTGAAGAAAGTTTATAAGGAAATGCGTCCACCACCTGAAAAACTTACTGGTCTGCCTCCCGTTAAACATTCATAGTGTGTAGTGCAGTTTAACAACTGATTAAAATTTTGGACAGTGCTGCTCGGCAGTTAATATGTATTTCTGGGTTTTATTGTTTTATAAATTGTTGAAAGTGTATATTTTTATATTGTGAATTTTTAAAAAATAAGACACATAACTTGAATAACAATACAACTTTTGTTATAATTTCTATTTATTTGAATATGAAAGAAAAATAAACCAGTATAATTTTAATATATCTTATAAACAGCAAGTTCTAATAATTAATGGATGATTAATTATTAAAATAACTGGTCTACTTAGTGACCTCCCTATTCAGCAATGAAAAAAATATATTACAATTTCAGGATCATCTTTTTAGATGGTAAAAATTCAACTTTGATTTTTCAGATTATACCTGGCCTTTGTTTCAAACATGTTCCACTATCTTCACATTCCCACTACTGGAAAACAGTGAGAACCACAAGTACGTGTTAGCTAGGCTGACTAAAATGATTGGATACTACCAGAAAATAATAAATAGTACCAGCCACTTGTCCTTGTTGTGTATTGCTCTTTTAGTTGACGAGATTTGTTGTTTTTAAACTTCACTTTCTTTGTATTTGATATAATAATTATTTGCGAGATTTCCTCCTGTAGCCTGCAAGGTGATGAACCTGTAATTTTATCCTTACCGATCGTCTCTATCTACCTATCCTTATTTGGGTTGGTACATCAAATGTGTTTAGGTATTTCACAATCTGCAGTGTTGTCTCATGATTTGTGAAGTTTTTTTTAAAGAAAGCAAGTCCAATCGTGGTGAGAATCAGCCCAGCAGAGAAATTAGGCCTAGCTAGAGCTCGAGTGCACTGTGCAACAGCACTTTGGAAGTGTTCTTACTTCTTGGCATTATCTCTGAAGTATTCTCGAGACTGGATGGTCGACAAACATAAGAAAAAATCCATGCTCAAAAATCTTTGAACAGAAATTTAAAGTTTTACAGAATGAGCTTAGAACATTACCTGCTTTTACTGTGACTCGTAACCACAACTAGAGAAAAAATACGCATTACAGTTTGTTTCACCAGTTGAAAAACCGCTTATACACTAAGGTAAGTCATAATTTTCTAACACATTCCTTAAACTGTTGGTTTATTCCTTTAAGATTTTTATTAAAATGTTTGAAATTTATCTTAATGAAGAGAACAACACGTTCTAGATAGTAGAAAAGGAATAATTTACGCAACAAAACTGTCATTTCACATAAAATCATTAAAGTAATTAATACAGTAAATTTAAGAAATTTAGTGACGTTTATTCTGAAGCATTAGTCAAACCCGTTGAATACAAAGAACTTGAGACTTATTCCTCAGCTTCAGCTTGGTCCAATTCCTCATACAGAAGAGTTGCAAATTTAAGTTTCAGATATCTTTTACGCTTCTCGTTAAGCTTCTTAAAATCTTGAAGTAAGGAACGGAAAAAAAGCCAGTCGCCATCTTGCTGTTCGTCTGTAATAAATTTGTCAGAATGGCTTTGCTCATTAGACATTCTTCTTCTCTTACTCGGGGTGGGATCTTGATGAATCTCAGCCTCCTCCAATTTGAGGAGAGTCTCATTAGCTGGTGTAACCTCGGGGGTATCCTCTAGCGTGCCTTCCTCATCGTGTGCGCTTGTTTCTTGCATGTCATAGTCAATTTCTTCTTTTAGCAGAACATTCCCAGACATTGATGCTCCCTTCATATATGGACGGAGAAAATGAAGATAAGTCGCCAAGTAGTACGGCTTTTTTGATTTTCCTCCAGATCCAGATTTGGGTGGCCTCATTGACCTCCCAAAAGCAGTTCGAATATTTTTCCAGCGATCACGACAGTTTTGTTCTGAAAATGAAACAATTTTTTAAAAATTTAATTGAGTTGCTACAAGGTTCTTTTAACTGTTAACGTATTGTTCTGTTTCAGATATCTGGCTGTAAGAAGCAGCTTTGTTAATCATGCATAGTAATTATACAGGGGTAAAAGTACAATTGGTAAAATTATATGGTCAACGAGCAACACCATTTGGACAATATTGCAACCAATTTACATGCCCATCCCAAATGGAGAAATGTGGCAAGAAAGAAACAAACAATACTTTGAGCTGTGGAATCCATGCTCAATCGATGAAAGGCATTCGAATAAAGTGTTTCAAGAATACAAAATTGAGAAATATAAATTACAAAGGTTACTTCTCTGTAGTGCTGATGGCTATGGCCATATGTACAGAAGGTATTTTTACTTTAGTTGGAAGTTTAGTACAAATAATTTGATTAAACATAAAATTTCTATGTTGCTTACATTATTGTATAAATTCAAAGTCATGTCTTATATGTAAGATGATCTCAATAAAGATTGAAACGTTGGCATGGTAAAGAAAATGTTTTTATAAACATACATACTACATCACACCAGATCGCATTTCACAATCTCTAAATAATCATAACTTAACAGTCACTAAATATTACACATTTCTAATTATTATACAAATTCTTTATCCAATTCCTTGATTCATGGAAACTAGTAATAAACTTCCATTAATTGTGACACTTTTACCTTTCCTTAAGTCGATTTAATTATTGATATAAATTCCTTTCTCTCTTATAATCATTTTAAATGTTTTTAAACATATATAATTAAAGAAGAGAATTTTTTTGAAAGTAATATACTAATTAAATAATTATTTAAAAAATTACATAAAATGTCAATAGTGTGAATTGCATGTATACTGCTACCACTAATTTGTATAAATCTGTTGTTTGATTATTTTTGTAATGTATAAAACTATTTGTGAGCTCACAACTCCTGCTCTTAAGCACAAATTAAACTTACTGAGAGCAGGCTGTTCATTTTACATTATTTTGTTCTAGAGTATCATTTAACTTTTTTTCTTGAAATAATGTATTCAATGTACAGCAAATAAATTAAATTCTTCATTTGTCTTTGTCTTTAAATATTTTTAAAAAATATTGATCATGGCAATTGTGTTTCATTTGTTTATGTTTCTGTTGTTTAACTAAATTTTAAGAAATTGCATTGTCTAGCGTAGAAACTATTTTTTCAAAAATGCAAATGTCAAAGAAGTTTTAAACATAATTTTTTCCTGCAACAGCAGAGGTCATATAAATTAAATTCTTCATTTGTCTTTGTCTTTAAATCACCCCTCAAGGTGCCGGTGTTTTTGAAAAAAAGCCCATTTGTAAGTATGTCGGGTTCGCTGGATTCGAACCCAGGACCTTCACCTTACAGTGATGAGCGCCGTATCAACGCCTGAACCGTTGCGCCCACCGACGCCCCGACATAAAATATTTAAAAATGTTATAAAAATATTTAAAAATGTAGTTTTTCTTACCTGTGTCCTTAATCTTTTCTGCTATTTTCTTCCATGCTTCGCTTGTTATATCAGTTCTGGAGTAACTTTTCAAAGAACAGTTCCATAAGCATGGGTACTGCTCGACTATATTCACAAAACTAATAGCAGAAGAGACGTCGTCCTGTCGAGCCGACATGATTCACTGACGAGTCGCATTGCTTATCGCATCACTTGTCGTATCGCGTGTTGTATCGCTCAAGTGAGCGGACATTATCGACATGGGTCCTTGGTCGAAAGTCCCAGTTTTTTATGGTGGTACGATTCGCTTGCCTCATGGTTGGTTTTCGCTCCCAGTATTTATTGTTCTTTAATTTTTAGATATGGACCAAATTTGGTATCTTTTGGAGTGAGTTGATTATTGGCTGTTCGTTTTTAAAAAACCTTAAAAGGAGAATTATCGATAGTTAGATTATTAATACTACATCGATACGTGATGAGTGTGTTGCTGGATTATTGTATTGATATTTGTGTTCGTAAGAAATAACAATTTTGAAGTTTTGGTGACTAAAGGAATGCTTGGATAAATAAGTAAAATGTAGGCGTTTTATTTTATTTTTTTAGTTCATTTCGATACAAATACATTATCGAGTGAGAATTATCGATAATGAACCAATTTATTCACATCGAAATACCATAAATTGCAATGAAAAACGGAGGTAAGACGTGTTTACAGTATACACTTTTTCAAGAAATGACGTCCACTTGACAGGCTCGACTCGCAGCAATGAACCTCCTCGTGACAGCGGTGCTGGTCACATTCACAGAAACGATCAGACCTTTCATAACAAACAAGGTCGGCTATTTGTTGCTGTTTTATTAAAAAACTTTCTATGCCTAAAATTTTGAATAAAACGAATACTTTTTCCACCAGTTATCTTCACTCGCGACGAAACGTGGCGTGTCACAGCTTCAGAGCGAGAAGGATGCAGTCAAATCGGAACTGGAGAGCATAAACATGAAGGAGGAGTTCGCCAGATATGCCAGAAAGCAGAGGGAATATAACAAACTGCTGCAGTCCTGCCAAGAAGAAGGCATGTATCCATGACAATTCGGAATTCTTTATTTACATAATGTATCCCCAGGGTGTACCATTTTTACTAGCTCTTGTTCAAAACATATCCAACCTTTCGCGATTTCAAATGCCACAGTATCAGAACCATCTGCCAAATGTACTCGCAATGTAAACTTCTTTCATTCAGTTCAGGTCTGCAGGGTGATAAACCTTTAAGGTCATTACCCACTACACCATACTGTCACATGCAAAGAAATATACTTTCTACATCCATTAGTCAGTTATGTCACCGGCCAACATAGTAGTGTGCCATGCCAGTTGTCAACAATTTGCAGGCCAAAATATTTTGTAGGTGATGACATGCACTTTGTATGATACGCAACGTTGCCACATTGGTGTACTTGATGCCCACCACTTTGTTGCACCAATGCCTCCTGACAATTGGAATGATCAATCACATTCTTTGAATTATAATTTATCACTTAAAAAAAAATCTTAATCTTCTACAAAATTAATATACTCTTTGTATGATGCGCAACGTTGCCACATTGGTGTACGCAGAAGCCCACCACTTTGTTCACCAATGCCTCCTGACAATTGGAATGATCAGTCTCATTCTTTGAATTATAATTTATCATATTTTTTAAATAATAAATCTTAATCTCATACAAAATTAATCCAAAATAATATATAATTTCATTGAATTTTTTTGAAAAATTGCTTGTATTACTAGATATTAACACATTACTTTCTTACTACTAACACGTTACTTTCCACTTCTTTTATGCCACGAAAGTTCATTTCCAGCATAAAATGTATAAATTTGTGGAAAGATGAATTGGTTAGGGATTATCAGTGGTGATAAAACTGCAGATAAAACAAACAATATCAGAAAGAAGAGCAAAATTAGCTTCTTTTTTTTTTAACTGAAAAGGCCTGTTAAAAATTATTTGAATTTTATATAGTTATATTTCAAATTTTATTTTTGTTCAAACAAGTTGACAGAATAGATAATTCAAATAGAACATTTTAGTTAAACAGAGGGCTTGTTTTTTGTTTAATATAATTTAAAAATCAATTAAAAAATAATAATAATAAAATTTTTGAAAATTATAGTTATTTTCATGTATAGAACTTCAAAACTGATAAAGGAATTAATTTTCAGCACAGGCTAAGAGAGAAAGAGACTCTAATATTAGACAAGCTATTAATTACATAACCCAAGCAATCATGGTAAGTTTTCGTTATCTTGTTTTAAAAATTGTGTTTATCAATTTTTGTTTGTATAATGCCAAATTTAGACAATGGTGTGCTTGATGTTGTTCTGGATGAACCGGGCACAACCTGTAATCGAGCTTCCTGAACAATGGATGATGCCATTCACATCATTGCTGTCCTGGCCGACTCAAATACCTGGAGCGATAAGCTTTCCGATTTGGTTCTTGATATGCAGCAGCACTTGGAAACTGCTAGCGAAGACTTTGAGCAAGTCAACTTCTTACACAGTTTAAATACACAACTTTTTATTTGATCCGGTTTTTTATTTTTTCTCATGTTTGTAATTTGTTTTTGAATAAATATTTATTTGTTTTATTTATTTTATTATATGATACAGTTAAGATTTTCAAGTGTAATAATTTTTTTGTGCAATAAAGGTTTTGCCCACACATAATTAACAAGAAAGTAAAAACCTTATATTGTAACATGGTAGAAATAGCTTATCGTTAAAAACATAAAAATGATTGGACAGACAATTTTATCTTAATTTAATCAACTTTAAGATTTGTATGTGTCCTGTATTTTTGTAGTTTATTATACTCTATGTAGTGGCCAAAAGTAAAGGAAAGAAATGCTGGGGAAATATTATAAAAAGTCCAAAAAATTGCCTTAGCACTACTTATGCTCTTCAAATAACACCCAGTACCCACAGTTGAATTGAACATATCCCAAGCCTGCCGCCATCACCCATAAAGGGATAGCAGGATTGAGGAATTGAAAATTCATCGGTTAGTGGAAAGAAAGTACCAAAGGAATTTTAAGAAATTATATGAAAATAAAGGGCCTAACAATGAGCATCTCTGGCTCTTGGTTTCACCACTGTCAAGCTGAATTACAATCTAAAGAAATGTGCAAAGGAAATAACCATATCAAGGGTGCAACAATAATACTCTGCTAGACAGCTCAAAAAGCTCTCTAAGTTTACAAGAACAACTGAAAACTACTCTGGAACTGGATGCTAGGTGTTGGTCTGTGAGGCAATGAACTCATTTTCAGTTCCTTACTGAAGATGGTGCAATGCCGAAACGCATTTGAGTAATTCAACAAACCTGCGAATAAAGATGGACCAAATAAGTAATACGGTATTCTGGAACTGTCAGAATACCCTTAAAAACAAGGATCTAAAAAAACCCTGATGGGTTCTTGGGTGGATTCTAGGTCATAAGAAAATTTGACACATAGAGGCAGCAGACAATCTACTTAAAACAGGATCCTCAGAAGAACACAATCCCAAATCTATTTTGTGGCAAAAAAAGAACTGGAATCTTTGGTTATTAATGAACACAACAAATAATAGGAATGTAAGCATAAGGCAACAAAATGACTACCGCAAAACAACCCCTCTTTCATAGGGTAATTTTGTAAGAAGAAATCCTACTCAAAGGAGTTAAAAACCCTAGTCATGTACAAGGAATGTTCAGTAAATTACCACTTTAAAAATGAGACTACTAACAAATGACCAGTTGACTTGTCTAGAGGAGATAGACATGTCCTATGCAACTGTCCTGCAATATCTAGGAAAAGGCTATGGTCCTAGGAAAGCCAAGAAACGAAAATCTTGCAGGAAAACCAATAGAAGTGCTCAGAAACAGTAGACAAAAGCTTAAAACAAAAGGGGGAACTCGTTATGAATATAAGAAAAAATAAACTGTGTTGAACACAGAGAAAAGGAATTAGAAACTGTTGTTTTTATAATTTCATACATATGATCTGATCTTGAATGGGAAAAATTAAATTTTCTTATTTTATTTATAGAAAATAGTTAAGAAGCAATTGATGGTTTTTTACTCCTGTATAACGTTATTTTAACAGGAGAGTACAACTGAAATCAAATGACATTCAAATTTATTAGTATTTGAAGGCAAATGAGAAGAAAAGTCGAGAAAAGGTCGTTTTCGTTTTGTTTAGCATTAGGTTTTAATAAACCAAAAAATTAGTTTGTTAGTTAAATACGTTCAGTGGTGACATTTCCTTTTGGGGTCTGAAAGGCGATAACCTATATTTTGTTCATTTCTGATCATTTTGTTCTTCCAGACGCGTTTAAGCCTTTGCTGTCTTCATTGGTGGTTCAGAAGCTTCAAACTCTTTCACAAAAGTAGTTTTGTGTCCTTAGCTTTTTCTCTTTTGTGTTATACTCTACTGACGGGCGATTGTTCAAATTAACGTAGTTTTATTTACCAGTGGTAACAATGGTAATTTTTAGATAAATAATTACCATTTCAGTTGCTGTTGACTAAAACAAGGCAACGTCCAGAAAAGGTCGAGTTTTCGTTCTGTTTAGCATTAGGTTTTAACACTGTACAAATTAGTTTCTTAGCTGACTATCTACTAATACGTTCATTTGTGACATTTCCTTTTGGGGTCTGCAAAGCGATAACCTACATTTTGTTCATTTACGATCATTTTGTTTTTCCAGAACCATTTATCCTTTTGCTGTCTTCAGTGGTGGTTCAGAAGCATCAAACTCTTTCACAAAAGTAGTTTTGTGTCCTTAGCTTTTTCCCCTTTCGGTTATAGTCTACTGGCAGGTGATTCTTCGAAGTAACGCGTTTTTATTTAACAGTGGTTACAAAGGCAATTTTTAGAGAAATAACTAATATTACAGTTACTGTTGACTTAAAAAAAAGGAAAAGTCGAGAAAAGGTTGAGCTATCGTTATGTTTAGCATTAGTTTTTAACACTGTAAAATTAGTTTTTTAGCTATCACCCAATACGTTCATCCTTTTGTTGTCTGCAAGGTGATTAACCTACAGTTTTGTCATTTCCGATCATTTTGTTTTTACAGAACCGTTTGTCCTTTTGCTGTCTTCAGTAGTGGTTCAGAATCTTCAAACTCTTTCACAACTTTTATCACGGAGCATTTAGTAGTGAGAATTCTCCAGTGAATCCAAGAAATACAGTCGGATGTGCTGGAAGTTTCAATACAAGCGCAAGTGGGGATAAAAGGTAATAAATTAGCCGACAAATTAGCCAAAAAAGCAACGAAGTCTGGACTCACATTGGCCATACCAGTTCCAAAAAAAGACGTAAAAAGATCCCTACATTTGACTTTTCTCAATGATAGGCAATTGACGTATTCATCCGCAGGAGCAGGCCAATTTTTTAAGAGAATTTTCCCCTTAGTAGGACGAGAGCTTGGTACCGTGGAGATGACTACGACAGGGCGCAGACCACGACCATAAATAGAATGCTGACGAATCATGGGCAACTATCTCAATAAGATAAGAAAAAAGGAGACCTCAATGCCGAGTGTGTGGTTCCGTGGAAGATCTTCAGCACATCGTAATGAGATACAAAAGATACAAAGAAGAAAGAAGTAGCATCTTAGGAAAATTTAGAGAATTTTAAATTCAACACATGGAACGTACAATCGTGAAATATTAACAAGTTGCTTTTTGATTACAAAACCATTTATATTTGATAAATTACGTATGCTTTGTTAAGGAACATGACTTGTTTTTATATTAATCGTTTCAAGCTTTATTTGTTCCAAAGTTAATTGTTGTAAACAATTTTATAAATTTGTTGTCATTAGAGTGACGAACGGTGAACCAAGGACGAGGTGCAAATGAGTGAAAGCTGCCCAATGGAAGACCGTTATGTGAAAATCAATTGTTCTCTCCATAAATTCCTTCCTAATTAATACAAGCACCAAATATGAAAACGGACATGGTCGTGACCGTAATGTGTCAGGTAATTAGAGGCCGAACGATTGATAAGCCTAGACCCTGGAGTATATTTATAATGATATTAATTTTAAAGTGGCCAGATTTAATGTCACCTCCTGTAAAGTAATATGTTGTATTTTAAGACCACAACAGTAATGAGCAGACTAAAGCTACAGTTACATGAACTACTTAATTCAACAAGGTCGATTTTTCGGTTTTCTTTGGGACTTAGCAGTAGTCTAACTCTGTACAATTATGTTTCTTAACCAACTATAACTACTTCGTTAATTTGTGACATGCCATCTTGGGGTCTGCAAGGCGATGAACCGGTTGTTTTGCTTTTTACCATCTTCAGTAGTGACACCACAGACCATATTGATCGGAAACGATGAAATTAAACGTTAATGTTTTTCAAATAATGGATTGTATTACACACTTTAGATCATTGGTTATCAGTTTCGTCAGTAATGAATGGTTGTTTCGATTTGGGAACTTCAAACAAAGAAAACTATTCGAAGGGGGTGCTTTTCGGACGAACAGCTGGTTTTTTACTATTCTTTAGCATAACTATACTTCTACTCGACTCATTTCTTTTTCAGAAAAGCTGTCCCAGTGGCGGATCCAAGGGGGTGTAAAAGGGGAATTAACCCTCCCCCCCTGGAGCCAAGTGAAGATGTTATGTGTTATATGTAATATGTCTTAGTTTAGCCTTAATTAAGTGAAGTGGCTTATATTTCAGAATTATAAACCCTTGAGCTGTTACATCTGATGAACCTTCCTTAAATTAAATCAGTTTCCTTTAACTGGTCACGCTTTGGCTTGTCCCCCGGTTCAATACTTCGATCATTCGATTTGATTTCAAGAAACCTGTAAGTTGATGTTTAATTTTAGGTAGATTTCTTTCAAAAATATAGCGGTTTCTAGGGGCCGCATTTTTTATCGCATTGCAATGAAATTTAGCAGGGTGGTAAAGAAAGGATTGTGTTTTTCAGGACGGTTGAAATTGTTTTTTAGCCAAATGGACTGGGAGTCGCAGAGTAATAGGCGATAAGAATAAAAAATTCAATCAAAATTTTTGCCATTTTTACGTTTTCTCCCGCAAAACACCAGCTCGATTTGTTTAACTTCCTCCCTTCTAGTTTGGGGTGGACATACCTCCTAGTACGCCCCTCATTATTGGATTTTCACATTTTTTGTACCCATTTTAACCTGGATTCTTTCTGTAACTTTTAAGCTAGGTTAGGCTCCAAACCAAGCAGTATTTTAAATGTGTGGTGATTAGTGACCGTTAATCGATGATTATTCAGAGATCGTGAAATGCGGTCTAGTGTGATGCAGGTTTCAGAAAAACATTTTCTTTATCGTGCCAACGTTTCGATCTTTATTGAGAACATCTTCAGGGCTCAAAGTGTTTGTTTACTGTGTAATTGTGCCATTCTTGCGAGTGCCCACTCTCAACACGACACGCAAGAATGGCACAATTACACAGTAAACAAACACTTTGATCCCTGAAGATGATCTCAATAAAGATCGAAACATTGGCATGATAAAGAAAATTTGTTTCCGAAACCTGCATCACACCAGACCGCATCTCACGATCTCTGAATAATCAGTATTTTAAATGTTATCATAATTTGAAAAAATCCT